AGACCTTGAAGGGAAACTTGAGCATCATCACTCTTCAGCAGCTCTCCAGCAACTTCAGCAGGTGTTGCTTGTGCCTTGTAATAATCTAGCAACTTCTCAATATCTCCAAAAAGTGGGTGCTCTTGAATCCGCAAGTAATTGTATGCCAATGTCTTGAAACCACTGAAGGTGCAGTAGGACAGGTGGATGTGCAGGTCCATCCGACCAGGTCGCAGCAACGCTGGATCAAGTCGGTCCTTGTGATTTGTGGTGAACACAATGATTCTCTCCTCTCCACAGGTTGACCACAATCCGTCAATGAAGTTCAATAGACCAGAGAGGGTAATCTGTAAATTAAGAAAGAAAGACATTAAGAACCCAACTTGTGAATTATATGATATATATTTTCCATACAGGCAATGTTAGGGGAGGGGGTGAAACAGGGGAGTAGTGAGCTTATATTACCTTGTCGTCTTCAACAGTTTTGGGTTCATTCTCAGCATCCCTGTTTTGCAACTCAACTGAACAATCTATATCCTCGATGACCAATATGGATCGGCTCTTGGTGCCAATCAACAACCTTCTCAAATCAGAATTGCATTGAACTTCCTTCAAATCCAAGTCAAAAATATCAAATTTCAGATAATTAGCCATGGCTGCAACCAAGCTTGATTTACCAGTGCCGGGCGGTCCAAACAGCAAGTACCCGCGTTTCCAAGCCTTGCCTACTCTCCTATAATACTCCTTCCTCTCTCTGAACCGATCAAGGTCCTCAATCAACGCCTTCTTAATCTCCGGGTCCATCGCCATGGTATCGAAAGTCGCCGGATGATCAAGGTTTATGGAACCCCAATAGTCAGTGCCGTTATAGTCGACTGTGTGGAGCTTCACCACTTTTCTCTCCTCTTTGATTTCTTTGGACTTGTTCAGAATGTAGGGCAAGTAAGAGCTGAGCACCATGTCCCTGTGCTTCTTATGGAAGCTGAGCTCCAATTGTCGAACCTCGGACTGTGAATGATCCTCACGTTTGCCATTGGAGGCTGGTTTTTGGCTGGTGACCAAAACCCACTTGAAGTTGACGCCTTTGAAATAATCAACGAGCCCTTGGTTCTTGTCTATAGTGACCAGCAACTGCTTCTCCTTTTCGGGCTTGTTGACTTTGATTCGTCGCGTAGAGGTAGATAGCAGGGTGCCCAGATAGAGGTTGGCCGCCTCGAACATTTCGTTAGGCGTCAGGCCGTCCAGCTCTTCCACCACGACGGTGATCTGG